GATTTTTATTTATCAAATAAAACCGATATGAAAACTAATTAAACAGTTTTTTTAAATAGTAACTTGCTTTAAATAATGGAATTATGAAAGTTACTAAATAATTTAATATGACTATGAACAATCATTATTTAAACTATAAATTTCATTCATTTTTTAATGAAATATATATTTTAAATCAATAAGTTTTGATAAATTTGATCAAATTAATCTTCTGCACAAATATTATTTGAACACTCTTTTTAGAGTCTAAACTTTATACACTAAAGAGAGAGTAATTGTCTTTTTTAATTACCTTAAAAATCACTCTCTACTTTCAGTGAAAAACAAAGATGTATATATGAATGATAATCTCAAGTACGTAGTAATATCTAAATTCTTGCAAGACCAAAAATATATATTGGAAACATTATTCACAATTATGAAGTCTTTATGCCCGGATTATACTTTGGTTATTTAAAATTAATAGTTGTATTTACTTATTATTCCTAATTTTTCATAATTTCTAAGTTACTTAAATTTTTCTTACAATTTTAGTACAATTTTTGCTCTCCTAAATTATACATAAACACTATAATGTATGTAGTGAACATGTAGAATAATAAAACAGATGCAAGGTTATTTTTTTTAGCCCAGATATATTTTAATGTTGATTTTACTTTCATAATCTTATCAATTTCTGCCTCACGCAGAGTTTAGGGAGAAAACAAGACATACTAGTCCTACGGGGCTATCCTACCTATATAACACATGCATAATGAAGTGAAGTAGCCTAAAATCAAGTTTAGAAGCAAAATATAAGCAAGTTAACTCTTAGAGGGGCGGTAGTACACGCCCAGTAGGGCATTACTATAATTTTCTAGGAAATGTTCAGGAAAGAGGAATTATCCTTCAATTTGGTTGGTATATCAAAGGAAAATTATTGATAGGCCATACCAATGTTGATTCAGTTAACGTAGTTGCCTGATTCTGTTGTCTAGAATTTTGTTGGATTTAGAAATTTAGGAATTTCTGGCCCCTCAAAAAGTTAAGTACACATGTTCAAATCTGTTTTTGTATTTACTCTTGACAAACCTTATCATACTTCCAACAAAAACTGATGGTCATTTCTTAATTCCTTATACTGAAAATTCACTGTATTGTATTTAAAAAATAGAGCAATTCTAAATCAAATTTGTTTATTTTAAATGTGGTATTCAAGTGAAAAAGTAATTTAGCTCTTCCACCCTTTATTCTTTGATTATTAAAAAAGAAACTACAACTCTATATATATATTTTTTCCCCTTATTCTTCTGTTGTTCATTGTATAATATTATTATAATACTGATATTATTTCATAATCAAGTTTATGTTCCCGGGCTGAAAATATCGTCGGTGAAATGTTG